TGCACAAATGTTGCATCAAGAGATGAAAAATCTCAAATTTGCTTCAGATGCTGGATTTTGATTACATTTTCATGAAGAAGAACTAGTTTAAATTTGTTATGTAGGTCTATTTCAAAGTATCAAATTAAAATTGCTTAAATATTTTCTTTTTCAATTGGAATGTGCACTTTTTGTTGGTTAATTGTGTGACTTTGCCTTACTTAAAGACAACATTCGTTGAGGTGAGCTCTGTAATCTCTGATTACCTATGTTTTTTTCATGCGTGCACTTTACTAACAGAATGAAAAAAGTAGAAAATCAAGCAAATTATGTTTACTTATACTATTCTCTGAAGGCCAAAAATTAAAAGTATATCAATATGTAAGACTCTTAAAGATGTCCAATCTAAGCTACTGTTCCAGGATGAAAATCTATTAAAGATGAAGCATGAAAGACACAATTAATTTGTTTTTTTCAGTTGCATATAATGGAAGATAAATACATGATAAATACATGAAGTACTCTTTAATTTTCAGGAAATGAGGAAGGCAAAAGAGCTGATCCTACTTAATCCTAAATGGGGCATCAGGTACAGTCAGGACTACTGTGTCACCCCCCCCCTCCCCCCCCCCAAATATTTTTTGCCCTTTCAATCTGGCAAATAATTTTGCCCAGATTTAGATTTGTCTGGACAAGTTGGTGCTGAGAGATAATGCTGGCTTTCTCAAATTCACCTCATTTTAAATTTACTCACTTGTAGCAAAGGTGAAAGAAGTGTAAATCAAATGGGGACAAAAAAAAAACAAAAAAAAACACCTAAAAAATCAGTAAAACTTTGGACAGAATCTCTTGGTACATTTTTCCATGGTTTAATTCAGGATCTCTCAAACCTCAGATTTAACAGAGTGAAGGCTGTAGTCTCTCTTCCAGTTCCATTGTAACTAAATGTTATAAATTGAATTAAAGCCTTTCAGGTTAGATGTTTTCATAAAGTAATACCTAATGTGTCATCACACATAGATTTCAATGATAATCTGCTGTTTTGTTGACTAGATAGTGTTTGTCACAACATGAGAAATATTTCTAGTGGTATAAAGCAAATACCAGAGTGGCTGGATCTCTTTTCACTCAAACTATGAAGGAAGAAGTATTTTAAAAAGCTCCACCTTCTAAATTAGTCACATATCTATGTGACTTTGATTTTTGCTAACTTACTTAAATTGTTAAAGTTCTAAATTATATATTGATCACAGATAGGTATATTTTAAATTCATTCATTACAAATGCCTGTCTGTAATTAACAAGATACAATTAAATCCACAAGTCATTAAAAAAATGATGCTTGTTTTGGTCTGTTTACAACTTTTTGTAAATTTTTCTTGCTTATCAAAATTTTTGATAACTTTTGATCACTATTTCAGAGCATATGATGAAAAGAAAAAACTTGTTGAGGCCGATACAGGAAAAACGCCGCTGACTGAGGACCAAATATCCCACCTCCAGACTGATCCGGACCGGGGTCTGATCACAAGGGTCTGGAGATCCATGGAAAAAATCCTCTTTGGACTCATCCTCCTTCTTATTTGTAAGTCTAGAACATGAAAATCTTACTTCTGAGTTGTAAGTCTGAAATTATAAAATCCTACGTCTGAGTTGTAATCTAAAACATGAAAATCCCATGTCTGATTTGTAAGTCTAAAACATGAAAGTCCTACTTTTTATTTGTAACACTAAAACATCCTTCTTCATATTTATAAGTCTAAAACATAAAAATCATTCTTTTTAATTATAAATCGTCCTATGTCTTATTTGCAATAAAAAAAAATTAGCTATTGTGGGTTATTGTATGTACAGTACTTTCAGTACTGTGATTTTGACTACAGGTGTAAGAGTGGTGATTGTGGGGTATTGTATGTACAGTACTTTCAGTACTATGATTTTGACTACAGGTGTAAGAGTGGTGATTGTGGGGTATTGTATGTACAGTACTTTCAGTACTTTGATTTTGACTACAGGTGTAGGAGTGGTGATAGTTGGGTTCTTCAGCTGGCGCTACCACAGAGGTCAAGTGGAACGGGAACAGAAGTGTGTGTTTGAGCTGGTGGAGAAAATCATAGGTATGTATATAAAGAGAGAATCACATTAGGTATATGTGAAAAGAGAGAATCATAGGTAAGTATATAGAGAGAGAATCACATTAGGTATATGTAAAAAGAGAGAATCACATTAGGTATATGTAAAAAGAGAGAATCACATTAGGTATATGTAAAAAGAGAGAATCACATTAGGTATATGTAAAAAGAGAGAATCATATTAGGTATATGTAAAAAGAGAGAATCATATTAGGTATATGTAAAAAGAGAGAATCATATTAGGTATATGTAAAAAGAGAGAATCATAGGTAAGTATATAAAGAGAGAATCACATTAGGTATGTATATCAAGAGAGAATCACATTAGGTATATGTAAAAAGAGAGAAAATTGCAGGTGAGTGTGAAGAGAATAATAATAGTTACGTGTACCAAGAGAAAATCTTAGCCATTAGGTATGTGTAGACAGAGAAAGTCATCAACTGGAGGAACTGAATTTGCCTAATTCTGGTTATTCTTTGCAGATTTAGTGAAGGATAATTATGAACTACACCAGGAGAACAACAGACATCCAGAATTTATTGCTGTTTCCCATGTCCGAGATCAGCTGTTACCACCGAAACAAAGGTATGAAAGTCCAAGATCAGCTGTTACCACCAAAACAAAGGTATGAAAGTCCGAGATCAGCTGTTACCACCAAAACAAAGGTATGAAAGTCCGAGATCAGCTGTTACCACCGAAACAAAGGTATGAAAATCCCAGATCAGCTGTTACCACCAAAACAAAGGTATGAAAGTCTGAGATCAGCTGTTACCACCAAAACAAAGGTAAGAAAGTCTGAGATCAGCTGTTACCACCAAAACAAAGGTATGAAAGTCTGAGATCAGCTGTTACCACCAAAACAAAGGTAAGAAAGTCAGTGGTCAGCTGTTACCACCGAAACAAAGGTAAGAAAGTCAGCTGTTACCACCAAAACAAAGGTATGAAAGTCGGCTGTCAGCTGTTATCTTAAAACAAAGGTATGAAAGTCAGTGGTAAGCCATTATCTCAAAACAAAGGTAGGAAAGTCAGCGGTCAGCTGTTACCACCAAAACAAAGGTATGAAAGTCCATTATCAGCTGTTACCATAAAAACAAAGGTATAAACGCGGTCAGCTGTTATAAAAAAAAAAACGAAGGTATGTAAGTTAGCAGTCATCTGTTATCTTAAAACAAAGGTTGGAAAGTCAGCGGTCAGCTGTTACCACCAAAACAAAGGTATGAAAGTCAGCGGTCAGCCCCAATTTTTTTACAGAATTATTTTTTATCTTTCAGAGGTACACAGAGATGGATTATCTGAATATGTTTAAAAAAGAAAGATCCCAGACATTTGTTTTCCAGCCATGTGTTGTTGATAATGTGTCTATATTAAACTAAAAACTGCATATACATGTAGATCTAGCATCTCTGCTTTACATTGCATTACTAATTTTTCATTTATCATGACAACTTTTATTTACAGTATTGATATATCATATTCGTAGTTCTATATTTAGACAGAAGCTGAGGCCCCGCTGGGAAAAAGCCGTGAAGTTTATCGAGGCGAACGAGTCGAGAATCCGAATCGAGAACCAGACAGTCCAGGGGGAGGATTTCTTAGTCTGGAAGTGGCTCCCGGTAAGTTATATATGGAGGTGGCTCCTGGTAAGTTAGGTCTATAAGTGGCTTCTGGTAAGATAAATCTGGAGGTGGTGTCCTGGTAAGATAAGTCTAAAGGTGGTTCCCTGGTAAGATAAGTCTATAAGTGGTCCCTGGTAAGATAAGGCTATAGGTGGTCCCTGGTAAGATAAGTCTGTAGGTGGTTCCCTGGTAAGATAAGTCTATAGGTGGTTCCCTGGTAAGATAAGTCTGTAGGTGGTTCCCTGGTAAGATAAGTCTATAGGTGGTTCCCTGGTAAGATAAGTCTGTAGGTGGTTCCCTGGTAAGATAAGTCTATAAGTGGTTCCCTGGTAAGATAACTCTGTAGGTGGTTCCCTGGTAAGATAAGTTTGTAGGTGGTTCCTGGTAAGATAAGTCTATAGGTGGTTCCCTGGTAAGATAAGTCTGTAGGTGGTTTCCTGGTAAGATAAGTCTGTAGGTGGTTCCCTGGTAAAGATAAGTCTGTAGGTGGTTCCCTTGTAAGATAAGTTTGGAGGTGGTTCCTGGTAAGATAAGTCTGTAGGTGGTTCCCTGGTAAAGATAAGTCTGTAGGTGGTTCCCTTGTAAGATAAGTCTGTAGGTGGTTCCCTGGTAAGATAAGTCTGTAGGTGGTTCCCTGGTAATATAAGTCTATAGGTGGTTCCCTGGTAATATAAGTCTATAGGTGGTTCCCTGGTAAGATAAGTCTACAGGTGGTTCCCTGGTAAGATAAGTCTGTAGGTGGTTCCTTGGTAAGATAAGTCTATAGGTGGTTCCCTGGTAAGATAAGTCTGTAGGTGGTTCCCTGGTAAGATAAGTCTGTAGGTGGTTCCTTGGTAAGATAAGTCTATAGGTGGTTCCTTGGTAAGATAAGTCTGTAGGTGGTTCCCTGATAAGATAAGTTTGGAGGTGGCTTCTGGTAAGATTATTGTGGAAATTGCTTTCGGTAAGCCCAAAGCAACTTTCTGTCTTGTGCAAAAAAAAAAAAAACTTTGTTGAGAAAAACTCGTATACAGTAAAATCTGTGCAATCCGTCACACTGTGAATTCTGACATTAAATTTCATTCTCATTTTAATGTTTTTCATGCTCTTTTACACGGTGCAATCTGACATCCTGTCTATTCCGTCACAAAATTTGACTTCCATTGCCTGTCGGATTAGTTAGGTTTCGCTGTTAGTGTGACTAGTGTGACTCTAGGTAGAATGTGAATAACTTAGATGAACTAAAACAAAACTCAGTAATTACAGTGCATGTGGTAACTGATTAAATCTTTTTCCTTGTAGGCTTGCTCCAATGGAGGAAAATACTGGCAGGGTCAAGGTAAAGTCAACAATTTTCATATATCTTTATTAAGGTCTTCCGTTTCCAACGGAAGACCTTCTACTGATTCTGTTGGTAAAGATTATTATTCTTTTTTTTTTCTTCTACTTCCTAGACGCCAACTTTGAGGCCTCATATCTCACTCATTTCTCAACGGATTTCGCTCAAATTTTCAGAGGTTATAGACGTTTATAAACTCTATCAGAATGATGACTAAAATTTCAAAAAGTCACTTCCGGTTTTGAGTTATTCCCCTTTAAACGAAAAATCATAGGCTTTCGTTTCCGGATAAAGGCTCAGAGACCACAAAAGCTGGAGCAGAAATTTTACTTGTTTTAGATAACAGAAGGATTGAAGTTGTGCACATCGGTTTTTGTTTTTCGATTTTTGCATTCAAAATGGCGCTATATAGGGGTCAAAAATTAGAACGCCTAAAAGAGCGAAAATTTACAGATATTTTCCTTTTTATCTTGAAAACTAAAAATATTTTGTTAAGACATGTTGAATAAAAGTTGTGCATAATTACAAGCGCTTTCATTTGAAATCATTAAAAAGGGGCTGGCCCCTAAAATTAGGGATCTAGGGCCCTTGAAAGTTTTTGTTTAATATCTCAAAAAGTATTGAGAATTTATAATACATCAAATAAGCGAAGTTGTTCAAAATGTCAAGCTTTATCTAATGAGGTTGTCAAAATACGTTCGGGGACGTCACTTCCGGTCAAACCGGAAGTAGTCAAAAATTGCAATTTTTGTTGTTCTTGACAGGTTTTTGGATATCATATGTCACTGGAAGCTTAAATCTTAATTTTCCGTCCGATGACGGTACTTCCGATCAAACCGGAAGTTGCCAAAAATGGCTTGATTTTGCAAAAATGAATATAGATTTGGAGGATTAAACCATTTTTCGACTTCATTATTTATTTTTTTTTCAAATGAAAGTAACTTCCGGTCAAACATGACGGAAGACCTACTCGTTGCTTTGCAACGAGCTCGACTCTAGTTTTTGCTCCTCTGTTTTGCTTAAAAATATGTTTTAGCTGTACAGTAAGCACCAGTTAATTCACTGGAAAATAAATCTCATTTAGAAGGATTTTTTTATTAGTCCCATTTAGAAAACATCTCTCTATGTTCCTTATATAAGGCCATGCAAAGTTAATTCCTTGGTTCTCTGGCCTTTTTTTAGCTCACCTGAGCCGAAGGCTCAAGTGAGGTTTTCTGATAAAAATTTGTCCGTTGTCTGTCGTCGTCGTCGGCGTCGGTGTAAACTTTTCACATTTTCATCTTCTCCTCAAGAACCACTGGGCCAATTTCAACCAAACTTGGCACAGAGTATCCTTGCCCACGCCCTTTTCCAAGGGGAGATAATCATGAATTTGTTAAAAATTAATGGCATTTTTAAAAAATCTTCTTCTCCAGACCGCTGGGCCAAAAAATGAAACTTGTGGAAGCATCCTCAGGTAGTGTAGATTCAAGTTTGTTCAAATCATGACCCCCGGGGCAAGAAAATGGCCGACCCAAGTTTTACATAGGAATATATAGGAAAAATCTTTAAAAATCTTCTTCTCCAGTTCAAATGTAGATTCAAGTTTGTTCAAATCATGACCCCCGGCCACATAGGAATATATAGGAAAAATCTTTTCTTCCAGAACCACTGGGCCAGGAAAGATAAACTAATGTGGAATGAATTGTGTTAAAAATTAATGGCATAGTTTTACATAAATATATAAGAAAAATCTTTAAAAATCTTCTTCTCCAGAACCACTGGGCCAGGAAAGATGAAACTCATGTGGAATCATCCTCAGGTAGTGTAGATTCAAGTTTGTTCAAATCATGACCCCCGGGGCAAGGGTGGGGCCAAAATGGCCGACCCAAGTTTTACATAGGAATATATAAGAAAAATCTTTAAAAATCTTCTTCTCCAGAACCACTGCGCATGGAAAGATGAAACTCATGTGGAATCATCCTCAGGTAGTGTAGATTCAAATTTGTTCAAATCATGACCCCTGGGGCTAGGGTGGGGCCAAAATGGCCGACCCAAGTTTTACATAGGGATATATAGGGAAACCTTTTAAAATCTTCTTTTCAAGTACTTCAAAACTATGATTAGTGATATGTATATGGAATCATCCTCAGGTAGTGTAGATTCTAGTTTGTTCAAATGATGAACGCCTGGAGGGGGGGGGGGAGTAAATTCAAGTCCGATGTGCTCAGGTGAGCACTGTGGCCCCTAGGCCTCTTGTCAAGAAATATGATGAGGGAGGGAGGCATTTTTAAAAAGAATACTTTTTATTGCCCCCAAAATATGATGAGGCTGCTTTTTACATTGTAAAAAACCTCAAATAATGATGAGGGAGGTGATTTGTTGTTCTTTTATTGATTTAGCAATAAAAAGGGTTAATTAGGCACCCTTGGAAGAGATAAGGGAGGGCCTGAGAACCAAGAATTTTTTTTTTTTGGCGTAACTAATCTTGCTTACAAAAAAAAAAAAAAAAAAACAAAAAAAACAAAACCAAAATTCCAATTGCCTGTGACTTCCTTTAAGTCAGATTTTACATTGGAAATTTAGTAAAAATTTTCTGCTGTGTTTGATAATAATGTAGAATGAATCAGAAATTAAGGTTACTGTTTAGAATTTTGTCTTTACAGAAATGTTCATTCATTTTGTTTGAACAACTTTATAATTTCAGCGTTTGGTGAGAACAACGCATCGTCAGGTGGTGGAGGGGCCCTGCCCTATAGCCCTACCCCGTGTCTGAAAATCAGAAACATGTTTGATGCAGAAATGTGAGTCTCTGATCTTAATCCCAGATACTCTAGCACTAGGATTTAAGATTTTCATCATCATTTTCATTAAAAGTTTCCATATGTTTTGTCGAATTCTTCGGAGAAATGAATCATAAAAGCTCTGAGCTTCCCTAACAAGGGTTCTTCTAAATTGTTCTGTTTTTGTTGCCAGGGAAACAGACGAGGATTGGGAAGTGAATGTTCAGGATGCCATATTGGAAAAGTGCAAAGGAATTATGGGAATTCTCCATATCTATGTGGACTCCAACTCGAAGGAGGTAATTCACTGCAGCACCTGAACTCTTTACCACTTACTGAATTGTGGAACATACACTTAATGTTCCTGTCATAGAAATATGACGTTACTTTTTCCCCAAAAGCACTTTATAGTGTACGATAGAAGTTAATCAAATGTAGCACTGTATCCTTTGTTTTACAGGGGTGTGTGTACATTAGATTTAACACTGTATCCTTTGTTTTACAGGGGTGTGTGTACATTAAATGTAACAGCTGTGAGACGGCCTACAGTGTGTACAAATCTCTTCATGGCTGGTGGTTTGATGGTAAGTTGGAGCGGATAATTATCATAATTAAATTATCACCGTTAAATGGGACACTTGTTGGATGTGTCAGTTTAAGATAATTTTTAAAATGTTCAGTTGGTTTTAACCCCCATCCCCGCAATCACGCATTTTAACGCATATACCGTTGCCCCGCAATCACGCATTTTAACGCATATACCTTTGCCCCGCAATCACGCACTTTAACGCAATTTTTGTTTTTGACGTTTTCTGCTCTTATAACGCGTAAAGTTTGATGGGATGATAATAAATGAATAGATTATAAATTTTGTAATTCCATTCTGATATCTTTCGCAAATAATAATATTTTCCCTCAATTTGATATGTCCAAACCGTTCGATTTATTTGACGAAACTTGGAATGCGAGACAAATTAAGGTCTTTCTTTTTACGCTAAATCAGCTCACCACTTGATCCACTTGTTTCGGTGATGTGGAAGTCACTCTATCTAGCTTGTGTGAGAAGGGACTATTGATTCAGAATTTATCGAACTTAACGAATGATTTTTTTTATGTTTGATAAAAACCAGTGCAGAAATCGACAGAAGGAGCGTGTAAAATTACAAAAGAATTATTAAGTTTATACATTCTCTGTCATACAACCGTAGAGAAAAGAAGTTTGTTCATAGAATATAGCTTTGTCCCAGTTTACATGTAATCTTATGTTACATGTAGTCTCATGTTGTCTTATTTGTTGTCCTATTTGAATTCAAATTCGTAAAAACTGATTATTTTCCCACCTTACACATTATACACAGCAATAAAAAAAAATACACATACACAAATCAAATGAAACAGAATAAAGGAACGGCAATATCATGTTAAAAAAGAAGTTGCTTTCATTATTAAGTTAACGTTTCCGATATTGTGAAAAAAAAGTGTCACACGTACTCGATCGTGTATCTTGATTTCTTAACATATACGTATACATGTATACATAAAACAAGATATTCGGGAAAATTTTAAAGTATACTGAATACTTGTTTGATATCTTTTTAAAATCCACTGCGCTACCACTATATGACATGTCTCAACAAAGATTGTGCTAAAATTTACAAAATCTGCGATGAGTAGCTGCTTAGAAAAATGCGATGAAAAAATGTTACATGTATATTTGGTGCTGACAGACGCACGGTAATACAGGAAGTTGACATCAGATTTTAACAAAAATGAAACCACCATTTGGCATGCCACAGTGACGAGTACATGCTAAAATTTTAAGCACCTGTAATGAGTACTGCGCACTGTCTTGATGAGAAAACTGCGACCAAAAACTTTGTTATGGACAGACGACCAAAAACTTTGTTACGGCCAGACACATAGCAAGACGGACGGGAAAAAAACACAAGTGTAAAACAGTATACCCTGTCTCATTCTCAGAGGGGGCATGGTTGAAAGAATTATGTCTACTGATTAGTTTTATCAGTAGATATATAGTCCTTTATAGGAATATTTCCTTATATGAATATATCCGCTCTGAGTACGTTCATATCGTCAGTATATTATTTGAAAATATTCACTTATCAGTCACTTTCACATGTTTAAGAAAACCTATATACTCTGTAGGTTCATGTATGTCAACACTGCATACTTTAAAAATAAGTTTTGAAAAATTTTAATTGGCGAAGTAACTCTCAAGAAGAGGACGGCGGTGTGATCTGATTGGATTCTTCAACCAACTATATGTTTATGTTATACACAAAAAATACTTTTGACATCCATGCACTTGTGTATGGACAGTTAACTCGTGATTGTTTTCAAAGGGTCGTACAGCTGGTAAATACATGTACCATGTAGATGCATTAATGAGGAGCATTGCATTTGGACGATTAAAACTTCATTCTTTCGGCGGGGGGGGGGGGGTTACATATTTGACCAACAGCGATCTAATTTATTCTCCGCATTTCATCTCCGGAATCATATTATTACATTCAGTATTTCCGGCATTTTTTTTCTTCGATCAACAGCTAGCTTGTTAAATAAAGGGACTGATTATATTATATATATTATATACCGTATATACTCGCCTATAAGTAGGTCCGCCTATAAGTCGGTTGTATTTAATAAGCTTATATTTCAGAAGGACTGACCTCATATGATACCATTGTTTTTATAGCTTGCCTATAAGTCGGACACAGAGTTTTGAACCCCCGTTATCTGAAAACCTCATATGATACCATTGTTTTTATAGCTCAGAAACATATACGGTAATTAGCATTTTACCACAGGAATGCTTAGCATTTCATACATTTTTTTTTGGGGGGGGGGGGTATTGATCTTGTCTACCAAGTTTATGAAAAATCGATCAATGAAAAAGAAAATCAGCTACACTTTAACTATATCATGTCAGTGATGTCCGACAAACATGAAACTGATCTCAATTTGACATCCATGTTTTTTTAAGAAAATAAAGCTTTTGATGTCAATGATTTGCCGGTATTGTTCAAAGATAATAATTTCAATTTTCAATTAAGAAAGTCTTCGGTCACAGTTTATTTTCCTGAAATTTACTCTGCAATTAATATCGGAAATAAAACTATAAATTGTCAGTAAATTATGTTTTGTTGGAAATCAAAAGTAGAATATAAATAATCTGAAAAAAAGTATGCAGTCAAAACATTGAGATAATCTGTTTATTCTCCTGCATGTCTGATTTATATGAACATTTATTTCGGTCAGAATTGTATATCTTTTACAAACACAATCAATTGTATATCTTTCACAAACAGAATCAATTATTTTTTTTTTCTGTCGTTAACTTGTATTTCTTAATACTATAGTAATAGCATGGGCTATCGCAAATGTATATACATGTAGTGAAAAAATTGTATATATATCCACTACGTATTTACTCCTGATAGATCCTGAGTAATTGATTAATCTCAATGTTTATCATGCTATTAATTAGACTTTTTTTTGCAAGTTTGAATAAATTGATGTGAATACGTCAATTTCCTAATTAACGTAGACAGGTTTTCGTGTACATCGAACCTGCATGCTCATAAAGTTCATCGTGTCAAAAAATCAAGAAATCTGATGGCAACCCTTGGAAAATTGAGGAAATGCTTTCTATATTTCTCAATAAATACAGCTACAATTACTGCATTTTCATAGAAACATTTTTAATAGTACTGTCATATTTGCTCCACAAATAATCGGAATACTTATAGGACAACATCGGGAAAATGTCGAGTACTGATCGCTCCGTCCGAGGAATTCTTGGACTCGTTTGTAAACTATTCTATTGTTTATTGAAAATGTGTAAAAATACCATTACAAAGAAAAACTTCTTTTCGATGTTTTTCTTTTCTTTTTTATTTATTTATTGCAAATTCGCCTACAGCCCCATCACTCCCGAGTTTTTTCTTTATTGTTAAACGTGCTGATTTTTTTTAGTAGCCCAAATGTACCTGTAGGTGTAAAGATTCTGCAGTCTTCGCTATAGCCAAGGGGTTCCGATACGCTTCACATCTCCACCATGCACTAGAGTAGATTTTGGATCAGAAACCCCTGGCTATCAAGGTTTAGATATATATGGCTAATTTAAGACTGATTATTTAAATGCCGAGTCCCATGGCAGTATTTCATCCGTATATCAAACAAAATATTAATAACAAGATGTGATCAGTTAAATTTTATAACATGTATTTTAAAAATTTTAATGTTTTCCATCTACAATGGGCTATTGCATTGTTGAATAGAAATTAAGCGATATTCTAATATTTCAACAATATTTATTAATTTAAAAAAAAACAACCCAAGAACAAATAAATTAAGTTAAATGTGCTTAAACCTCCAAATCCTTTTTGTCCTAAAAATATATATTAAATTAAATTTTTAAAATTTTTCTCAAGTGATAATCCTTTCCTACTAGACCTCATTTCTATTTTATTCATAATTAAAAAGTTCTGCAAGTTTCAATAAATGGTAATGCATGTGACTGAAGAAATAATAAAAAAAGGTTTTTGGATTTGTTGCTGTCTGTAATTTTAACAAGAGCATACAAAATACACCCTGAATGGAACTCAAACAAATTTTTTGAACGAAGTTTTCGATTAAGATTTAAAATTCATAATAAATTACCTGTAGACTATGATAAATATATCAAGTCTGTAAAGTCCACATAAAAGAATTATTTAATCAAAATAAACAGGATTAAATCATCAAAATACTTGAATTCATTTTACAGATGATTGTATAAATATTAGGGCGATATATACGGCAACAGTTGCTCATTATACACTGTGCAAATGCATCCACAAAATCACATCTTTTCAGCACGTAATCGCAAGTGCGCTGCGGGGAAAAGGATAACGTCATCAAAAGTTAACAAATGTAATGCTACTATTACGTCACAGACCGCGCAAGGGGCAAAGAGTTAATAATTCTAAAAAAAAATTTACTAGATCTATGGACATAAATAGGTCCAAAAACAAGTGACATATATTTAACATTTGAGGAGCTGGCTTATATCTAGACTTTGCCTCCTGCCCAATCTGTTTATGTATTTCTAAGTGCTGCGCAATATCACTGGTTAACCGGTGTATTCCGATTTCGTTCTTCACAATACATATGGTGGTATTTTTTTTAATACTGGTTCAGGTTCGATATACTATAAATTGTTATAAAAAGAGTTATTTGCCCTTTTCAAGGTAAAATATGGTGGCAAGCAACATGAAGTGTGATCAGAAACCAGAAACTTGTCTCTTTCAGAAATGAAAAGACGACAGCTGTTATATGAAACCCTTTCATATAAAAGCCGAATCTGAATATTACAACTTGATTCTTAAAGTTGTGCCACAAAAAACTTAGTTTGCCAGTTGCATGGACACAACACGATCAGGCAATAGCAATATTAATTTGAGTATACATGTAATTTGTGTTTTCATATAACATTGATGAAAGGCAAATTTTAATAAAAATTTTATATTGTGATATATTGCAATACAAAATATAATATTGCAATATACCGTGATACGATTTTTCAGTCACTATACCAAGCACTAGTACAGTGGAGCCTCATTTATCCGGACGCTTTGATTCCTAGTCAAGTTGTCCGGATACAAGCGTCCGGATACCTGAATCACCAGTTAAACAATACAAAATATCATTACAAACTTCTGTTCCGATGAAAAATTGTCAAGATACTGAAGTGTCCGGATATCTGGCATCCGGATATTTGAGGGTCCACTGTATTTATTACATAATATTGACATTTCCGATGTCTTTGTCCGAAATACAATTACAAATAGTTAATGTACTTATTTCTACATCAATGTACTGGTTCATCGATAGGCACACTTAAAAAAAAATCGTGTGGGACGGGACAAATATAGAGAAAGAAGTGGGGTTAGAGCACATGGAGAATCAAGAGCATGTTAATATTAGGAATAACTGCCAGATTTTTTTTTCTTTCAT